CCCTTAATATGCAGTTTTGTGGACCCCAACAGATTTTAAACAAGGGCAGTTATGTTCAATAGAATAATGGGTATTCTAGGTCAAGTTTCTAAGCAACAAAAGAGCCAAATTGTACACCACAAAACAGAGGAAGCTAAATTAACGCCTTTCGTATTGATTTCGCGAACTTACTGCCGCAAAACACGACTCAAATCTGAGAAAACCTGATATTCGTGCAACCCAACGGATACGTAAAAGACCCTCAGCAACTCAAATACAAAATGACCGCCTCTTGTTACGCCGTCCAAGGTCGTTAAAACGAAACGGCGGGCGACTTTGAAAGGCCCTGACTTTTTACCGTCCGAGGATTTATGATTTTCTATTCCTTATTGCAGTTTCGGCTAATTTTCACTGGTTCGTTCCTCTTTTTTTGCCATAAAAAGGTTATTAGTGAAGATATTAGGGTTGTTGTGTACATGCTTTAATTGATAACACATAACAGGCTGTTAATATTGCAATCTACGGTAGGATTAAACTATACTGCCGACCTTTGAACGAATCTTAAATAACCTTAAGAAATATTAGCCAATCAGAAGACAGTTAGTATACAGTAAAAATATATTATACAAAACTCAAAAATTAAAGGGGATACTGTTCTTTTACATGAGTCAAAAACTTCTCAAGGTCAGATATAGGTTCAGAAGTTCTAAAACAATAGTGCATACGGTACAGGAACACATCCATATGGCTCCATAGTAGTCGACCTCTGAAACCATGATAAGGTCTCAAAAATTCTATGAGCCTCGACCACATAGCTTCAATAATGTTATTATATTGGTATGGTTTACGGGTTAGGGTTAGAGTTAAGGTTTAGGCGTAGGGTTTAGGTTTATGGTTGAGACTATAAGATATGGACAACCTTTGAGCGACGCTAGAGTGACTCTGAAAGTGTCAACATAATAATTAAGACCAAATGAGGTTTATAAACCTGTGTGAAGAATTCAAATTATGATTTACAGTTCATGATTAAGGCTAGGAATTATACTTAGGGTTTTCATCACGAACTGACATCAGCCATAATGCCAAAACTCTATTTATCCAAATGGATAATTGAATTTCGCGCCAAAATCTTATGATCACTTCTATTGTAGACGCTAAGTTATCACGGATTCCCTAAAATCCGCTGTAAACCGACCGTATGTAAGCATCAGGTACCGAACTTAGCGCCGTGACCTTGAAAAACCACGAAAGCTTCTGATTGGCTCGGCAGTATAGTTTAATCCTACCGTTTAGCGAAAAACCACAAAGTATAATAAGTTTCTGGGGAGATTTTGGGGGATTTGTGCCATTCCCCAAGGTTTTCTCTACGGCTTCCTTAAAACGGTAGAACTTTTCCCCAAAATAGGGAGATTGGGATTGCAGTCTTTATATATTTATGGATGTTTTGTGTTCAGGGTTCCATAGTGCAACTTGTCCAGAGAACCAAGTAATACAAGCCATGGATGTTGCGAGCCAGGCTTTCTTACACAACGCAAGAGATAAAGTAAATAAGCGTGGATGGCGATCCAAGGGAAGGGTGAACAAAATACACTTTAGATCTGTAATTAAATACCGGTTTCTGTTTTATATTAGTTTCCGAGAAACATTTATACTGAAATAATTATTTCCTGTCTATCATATTTTCAGCTGGCTTCTCAAATGTCCACAGACCTAACTGTAAATTTTTAATTCAGCATTGGTACTCACTATGGATTCATAGGTTGGACGATTGCTATGACATATGGCATTCGTTTATCTACTATAAGCAATTTTACTGTTTTGATACTGCGTTTGTAATACAGAAAAGTAACTTTTTTTCTCTTTGTAGAAAATTGTCAATGAAACTTCAACATCAACCTGACGTACTTATCCAATACGCATGAATGATTGTTGAGAATTGGAAGATATTTCTTAATGGATAAATTGTGCTTTTTTAAAACTTTAATAAAAATCTTCACTTATAACGCATCAGTCTTTTATTTAAGGCAGTGCTTATCCATCGTGACAGATCGGTTCGTGTTGCCAACTATGGTTAAATTACTTTAGAACTGCGTTCACTTTGCGAAGTGAACTCAGAGAATTGAATAGATGGATTCTGACGATCTAGCTTCATCATGACCACCGATTGAACTCATAACTTGGGCACATATGTCTTCTGATGCCTCGATGCATGAACGGATAATTTTACTGACCAGAGGGTCACTAAGAGCATGGATTAAGTGGTTGTTGTTGGCAAACTTCTTTAGCAGATCTCCACTCCCTGTAGAGATTAACATGCTGTCCAACACACAGAGAACCAAGTCCATCGTGCAGTTCCCTGTTTACCGGCTGCTTTGTCAAAATAAGCCTACAATGCTTATAGAAACAAAGAAACCCTCCCCCACGAATTAGATCTTTGGAATGTGCATAAAAAATGTGACCACACGACAGTATGTAGTCATTGAAGCGCTCACAAGCATAGCTGTTCGTACGTCTGAATATAATGCGTTATGAAAAGTAAAGTCCACATGTCAGATCGCTTGGTTTATACAAGATGTTCCAAGCATTTGCGAACATTGGGATTTCTTGACTACAGCAAATAATTTGTACAGTTAACGCTTACTTCCCTGAAAAGTGCTCTTAAGACATGGACTTTTAGCTCACTATTTACTGCGCGAATCCAAAATCCAGATTGACAGTGACAATATTTCGACCTGAAGGGTAAATTCATTCGAAATCAGGCATACGTAGATGACGGACATCGTCTTCTTTGTCTAGATTATGAGTTGGGAGTTGTATGCTCTTATGAAGAATGCTGATCAGCATGATCATCTACATCCTGAAGAAAAGCATCTGATTCTGATGAACTGCAGTTCATCTGGATTAATAAACTAACTAGGAATTCCCGAAACAGAGAAACATAGGCCAGACAGAACTAGATGAGCGCAAACTAACGTATTATGTTCGGAATTTGCAATCATCGGGCAATCAAGTACAAAAGAATCATAAGTTCGTGCAAATACTACATTCTCTCACGGTCTTCGCGAGACTTCGAATTTTACAAATTATAGTTGTTAACTATTACCTTCCTCTTCCTTTTGTAGGTAGACGGTTATCTTTGACTTTAATTCTATAAACTATTACCTTTTAATAATTCAAAACTACTTCATAACGTGTACTATTGATGATTTTTGACCGCTTTGTCAGATGGTGCGACCCCATTTTTATTCATCACTTGAAAACTTTAATTATGCTGAAATAGCATCATTCCACCTATAAGTTATTTTATTCAATATCTAAAATCTCTTGGTAATATTGATCAGACTAAAAAGCATCACTTCATTTTTATTGACTTTTATTCGAATAAATTTGATTGTCTCTGATGATTTTATGAAGCTATTCTACTTTACTATATTCAACTACATGTGAAGATTACCTATCAGTACGGTTACACCGCTTCAGAAAATGATATCGTTAGAAAAAAGTTTCTTTGATGAAACGTCATCATTATTTTTTATTCATTCCCTCGTTACTTCCTTATTTGTGTAACACATTTTTATTTTCGCACTCAGTTGTACCAGCATTTGTTTACTTGAATTAAAATGGAATCGAAGCACTATGCGTCCACAACTTCAGAAGAGATCGAACAAAGGACCTCAGAGAGTTGTAGAGAGCTCTTAACCCGAGTTGACATAAAGTGGTTTACATTCCCAACCTTAGATAGCTCTGGGCGCTGCCAGACAAACAAAGACTAGTAAAGTACAAGTATGTGTAAGTATGCGCGTAGGTTAGTATTTTGCATGCCGAATAAACTTGAATGACTTCTTTAAATGGTACGATAAACTGATATAGGAAAATTGAAGTAACCGAATGTTGAAGTCATAAAACCTTTACGGCATAACGATAAGGTAATAAATTATTCTTCGAAACCCCGTCACGACTACTATAATTGGTTTGATGAAAGTTGTTAGTAAACATAAATGTCAGGATTTAATGATTTCACTTACCGTTAACTATTAAAAGGTGAAGAACCACTTGAAAGAGAGAATTGGGTATATGTTTCTTTTCAGGTTTCAATTGACAAATGATATGCGAATTTCTCCAAATGAGTCGTGTCTCTCAGTCAGCAATCATGTTGAGTATCGAACATATGTAGCCGATAGAGATTTGCGATTTTCATGAAGTACCACAAGATTTTAAACATTTGATGTCAACTCGGTGGCTGGGAGTGGAATTCATGATGAGTTTTTCTTCCTATACTGTTCTACACAGCTGTATACAACTGAATTTCATTAAACAACAGTTTACAATCCTATATGTCAACAATAACAAAAGACAGACACTGAAGAGTAATACATATCATACTGCTAAATGAGTTACCGGCTACTTTGACTCTGTAACTCAGAGGATAACTGGATGACATGATAAACAATACGTAATGAGTCTCAATGAGACCAGATGAAGATAAGTGATACCTGTAAATCAATCTGAGAATATATCATTTAGTATTTTGGATGCAACTAGAATGAAGTTTAGGGCAGTTTGCTTGTTACGAAACTATTATTCTGTACATACTTCACCCACTAAAATTCACGGTCAGAAAACTACTGAAGAACTATCATAAGCTGAAGACCTATTTTATTTGTAACGCGAGTATAATAGTATTAACTTCATGTGGTTAAAGTAATCAGGGTCATTAGTTTTTTATTGAGGATGAAGCAAATAAAGATAAATTTTGCAAGAATCGAACAAATATTCTCTTTAGACAAATTCCTGTTCATATTCTACAACAATAGATTGGCAAATAATGTTTCGCAATGTTCGGTTTGAGCCAGATTTTATCCTGGAAATCTATGCTACGAACCCATCACTCCGTTCACAATTTAAACCAAACAATATTTGATAATAGAAATAATATATTTATAAATATTGTGGAAAGTTAATCATATTGGATAGTTCAAATATGCACTCCACCGTTCTAAATAGTTTTCATTTTGTATGAACAGAAGGCTAGAGAGCTTTTGTTAATTCTGACGATAAAGATCTCAAGGTTGATCTATTCACTTTGAATAATCCTGCCTAATGATAAATTATTATCTGTCGAGGTGGAAAGTTCGATCTGTTGAGGACTAGATACGAAAGTTCCCAGTTAACTGGTCAGTCTTGAGTTTTCCGTTTGTGAACTGATTTTTTCGTCTTCATATATTTACCCTCTGAAAGGTGAAAAAAACTAGACTGGTGATTAGTCGTTCATCAGCTCCTAGTTAACAATAACTACCCCTCCATCACAAGCATGTAACATAGCGTAATTTGAATTATTTGTTGACGTTTAAATAGCTCAGGGTCATTCAACAAAATACGCGTAGGCTCTTTGGAAGTCCCTTACTATCCGTTACATTTAGTGTCACACTTCATATTTTGATTTCTCCCTATCCAAAAGTTTTGTTTTCGAGATTTATGACTGTGTACATTATTCTTATCATGAATTTCAGGATCTGCGTCTATAAACTTTTCAGAGAATACTAATACTCAAAAGAATTTGTCCCTGAGTATGTGATCAAAAGAAATCAAGGTATGAAATGATAGTCTTTTAAGCCAAAATAAAATGAAACTAATTGCATTACTGAATAGGCGATGGATATCACTGCTCTCCAAAATAATACACGAATCTGATAGAAATATTTCAGCTACTAGATGTCTATGTGACTTGTATTTTCCCATCGAAGAACATTATCTAAGCTAATTCAAACAAGGTTACATTTATATACGCTAGTAGTCCCATAATTAAGTCTATCTAGATACATTTAGCTAAAATAATCTAAACAACAAGAAAGCTGTATCTCATCCCATAGAATATTCATTGAATTTAGGTTAATTCACTATCACCTTCCTGTTCATTATTCCGACCACAAAAATAACGGTGCTTAAAATGTTAACGGAATACACACAATTTAAAGACACAAACATTTCGATAGAAAGAGGAGAGATGGCGCCAGAAAACATAAGGCTACATTATTTGAACAGACATAATACACTAAATAAATATTTCAACAAAAGAGTTAAGGGCTAAAATGTTAAGAATTTTAACTATAACATGCATATTAAATGCACAAAGTTTATAAACTCCTAAAGTCCAGCCTTTTTGTCGGAATAAATGTGGTAGTAATCTTGATTTTGGTAAATGTAGAATTATAATTAGTTAGTATAATGGTAAACATGATCGGAGGTACAGAAAAAGAGTTATAATTACAATTGCATATAGATTTTAAGATGATGGATCTCATGTCTTTGATATGGTATACTGAACAATCTAAGCACTTAGGAGTTTAATTTCTCTTTGAATATCACTTTTGTGTTTATATTAAAACTTAATCTGTAAAAGGCATCTAATTTATATCAGAACTATCATTAAAATGAAAGGTAAATCCAGCTACATATAACTGGTACTCGAGCTGAAGAAATGAACAATGATACTGATAATGAGATAGTAAATCTTTAAAAAATTAGCAAAACTTATACTCATGTACTAGAGATACATGCTACAAAGTAACCACTTTGTTTTCATTTACAAAAGCATTTGCATTATCCAATATACAATACGTTTATTACATTTTCAGCTATTTGACTGGTCAATTTGGAATCAATGATTTGATGATTAATTTATCGTGTACCATACATCTTCACAGATTTTAAACTCCTCAACACTTATAATGAACTATCCTTCAAATAGTGATTAATAAAGAGGCACTTGCAAAGATAAAATAATTGTATTTAGAGAAGTAGGTGACTTTTAAAGTAAAAAAAGAGTAAGAAAATAACCAAGTTGGTGTTCACCTTTGAAACAGATATATAGTTTAAATGTTCATTGTTCAAAATGTTGATTGTATGCCAAATAAGTTATAGTCTAAAATTTCTTAGCTTAGTTAAACTACAATCACAATTATTTCGTTTAAATATTTAACATGTATTAGCTTCAATTTAGTTAGTGTAACTTAATAATTATTTTTCATTTGCGATTTATCTATTTATTTAAACACAAATATTGGTATAAAGGGGCACCAGATATATATGCGCCACACAAATCTCATTTGATTTGTGTAAGGGCTGTGATACTGCCCAGGTGCCCAAACTGAAGCAGGTGGTTTTCTTAGGGGGCCACACCCGGAGCCTTTACATTAAAGATCTGATCCACAAGGTAGTGGAGCATCGTAAGGAGATACAGTCCCATGGTAGCCGGTGACCAACGACTGATTCATACGCCATTGGTTTGAAATCAGGGTTTTCCAACTCCCCTACGTGGAATTTCGTGTCCACCAACCACTTCATTTGTGAACACAAATATCTATCTTAATAAAACTATTAATATAAAGAAATTAGTTGAACTTTTCTTATTTGAAATGATCAGAAGTCTGTATTACTTTGAGATATTATCCTAGAACTTAATGGTTGTGTGAATATTGTCAACTTAACACACTCCTCAATCAAAGTACTTACATATAGACTTAACTTAATCTATTCCTATTAATTTAGAATTGACAAAACAAAATTAAGATTCGTGGATTGGTTGAAGTCAGACATTAACACCATCCGATGCCGGCCCAACGGTCTAATGGTTAAGCGCTATGGTGCGAGATTGGTAGGTCCTGTGTTTGAATCTCGCGAGGCAGGATCGTGGATGCGCATTGCTGAGGAGTCCCAGAATAAGATGAAACGGCCATCCAGTGCTTTCAGGTTTTCTATGGTGGTCTAAACCATCATGATTTCAACTATAAGATTCCATTCTTGTATAACAATAATTTGACCTTTTTTCAAAAAAAATTGTATTTTATTAAAAAGTAATAAGCATTGATTAAATTTCACCGCATTATTTCTCTTCATTATCATTGTTATTATTATCTTTTCTTTTTTGATTAATGAATCATTTTTATTTAAGTATAGTATATGGTGTGATAATCAGAAAGTTATTTAATTGTTTAAAGACAAAAGAATGTTTTATTAATATTAATATAATAATGATGACACTACTGAAAAAAATAAGGAAAAAATTTTAAAAAGTCTGCTGACCGATAAAAATCATACCACCAGAATAATGTTTAAAGTAGAAGAGAACCATATATATATATATATATAGATAGATAGATAGATAACTGAGATACTATCAAAATAGTTATTCACATCTATACAGAATGATATTTTGTTACGTTGGTCTAATAGCAGTCATACTGACTACATTGGCACAAGGTAGTTCTTCTCTATAATGTCCAGGATTAATCGTCATCATAATTTTGATCACCATGATCATCTTGATTATTATCAGGGAGAAGTAGTAATTAGTATCGTGTTGTTTATCGACAATAAACATAGTCGTTAAATACTCGAAGTAATTCACAATATAAAAGGAACAGATTGAGTGTCATAGTCAGCCATAGATTTGAAGAAGACTTCGCTTCAACTAAGTACAAAACATTATTCTGAAGACAAGTTATTCTTTTCGGAATGTAAATTAAACTATTTTATTTATCTATTACACAAGCCTTAATTATGACTACCATCTAGTATTAATTAATGAAAGTATTGGTCGTTTGCTTGACATCCTTTTCCCATACAATTCGCGTTCACAACATAATGCAAAATCCCAATAATCATCCCTATTTTCACCCAATGTATTTTCTTATCCGATATATTGTTATCAAGTTTGTCACACTAACTTACAACATTTATATTGATGTGTTTTTCTCTTTCATATATTCGTCGTTGGAAATTTGGAATATTAAGCGGTAACTGAGTCAGATATAAAAAGAAAATATCGATATGATTGCGCTATATATGAAGTGAATATGAAACAAAATCCGGACAGAGAATATAGATATGAATTAGAGTTATTGGGTTCAAAGTCCCTGAAGGCAGTGGAAACTTCAAATAAAGTGGAATTGTGTGATATACCAATGTGTAAAAATATAGTTCTAAAATTTGATATCTATGAGAAGAAAAAGGATGACAACGAATACAAAAACATCTTCTCAAAGCAATATGAAAAGTCATTAGGTAAGTATTCCAACAAATAATGTATATTCGAAGCGTTGTTTACTAATCTAGTACGTAGTTATTACGTTTTAAATACATTGTTCTAAGACAACATCGTTGTCGTCAGAAATAAAAGCGTGGTAATCATAAATATGATTTTACATTTCAGAAGCACCTAAAATCAGTGAGTTGAAAGCACGTTACGAAAAAACCGAAACTATCATTAACTGGCAACTTCAAGATTACGAAAATTGCAAGGACAAAGAACTGCAATTCTTCCTATTTGGCGATAAAACGGTTATGCAGATGGCTAAAGGACAAGAAATCAGGATTCCATTTTTAACAAAAGGTAATACCTACACTGTATACGCATTTCCAAAACATATGGACACTGAGACCATTGTATACACAAACATTGGATTTGATATCAGAGTTCGTAAGTTGCCGAAATATCATTCCTTTAACATTTATTCCCCATTTCTTGTATTACGTCATGTTCACTGAGTATATCAGAAATGGTAGTATATTTGATAAGTTAACTAGTCAGAATAATAAAATTATAGTGAACAAAAGTTACACAACAATTCTACCAGTAAAAGACATTTCACATAAACTGAACGAGAATGACAAAAGTAATTGGACATCACTATTAATCTATACAGTTATCAACACATACCGAACTATTTGTTAATCATATATACATCTCAAGTCACTCAACAACTACACAAAACAAATTTCATTCACTCAGAATGTGTGTTATTCAGTTATCGACACACTTCAATCAAAACTAACCATAAATACTCATTCTTCTTCTTATTATTATCTCCCATGTCACGTGATCGTTTGTCGTTTCCTTTTCTTATTCACAGCTTAAATATATGCCTCAATAATGGTGATGATGATGATATGGAGCTGGTCGTTTGGACAATCGACAGTTTATCATTATCAAAACTCTCAACATTGTTTAATTAATTTTTGTGTATGTGCAAAACATGTTGTCATTCTCTTATTATTTTAATCATCTACAATATTTGTTTGCCTTCAACCAAATTATATCAATAAATTGCTAATCTGACAGTAAATGATTTTTCAATAACTTGTTTGGGTATTCGAAAGATATTACACTGATGCGTTCATTTACGCAATCTGATGTAGATATTTAGACGATTGTTATAGACGGAGAGGTTTGTAGTCATTTTAGTATTTGATAATTAATGTCATTCCACTTCGGAACTCGACTGGATTGAGTTAAGACACAAGTGATCAATATTTTCAAGCAGAGAACACGTATCTCACTTACCACTCACTGTGTTTCGTGTCTTTGGAAACCATATAGAGAACGTATACAGTGTCCCTTTATGACACACATTTTACTTTATATCTCACCGGATACTCACACCAAAGTGAGCTAAACAGTAAATAATTATTGTAATAATGAGTTGAAACTATGCGGATAACTGACAAGATTTCATTGTTAGTTTTGTTTAAATTATCATAGAATATTTTAAAAATTCAGTGGTGTCTAATTACATGACCTCTGTGAATAAAGTCTAAACACTTCTAGTTGCAAACAATCTTTTATTCTTTTATCTAATTTTAATTAGAACTGATAGACAACAAAGTCATTTCAACGAAACTATTCAGTGATTGTCTGTTTTGTTTGCTTTCTTCTATATATTCAAAATTGTATGGAAGATACATAAACACGCACTATTTTGTTTATTAAAAGCCAAAAAATGAAGTTGAATAGAATTTCTCTCTTCACTAATTACTTGAGTCTAAATTAGATTTATGTGTGGTAAATGTAGGAATGAGTTTAATGAGGATTGTTGTCTGTTAAATTAGTGACGTTATATATAAAAGAGGGTGAGATCTATTGTGATCAATTCGGAATTATTCTCGACGTCGTCTAAGCATGCTTCCCTTCATTTTAATTTAAGTAACGTTATCTACATGATTCGTCTTTCGTATAATTTTAAATACTAACAAGTAGGCACTGGACCTATGAGTGACAATGTTTAGAACTGGAGTTTGCACTCAAAGTTAAAAACATACAACTATCAACATTTTTGACCTGTAATCGTTGAAACTTTCAACATTAGAAGTAATAACACTGAGTTTGTTGTTTGTAGATATTTTGAAATAGTATGTATGTAAGCATCAGTTAGATTATTTCGATGTAAATTAAAATAAGTAGTATAGGAATTGATGATGAAATTATAGTTTCAATCATAAGCTATCTACCATAAAACTTTGAAATTCATTTGTTCCTTATGTTTAGCAAGTTACTCGATAACAAAATTAAGATAAGCTATCACTCTATTACGATTCATCAATTCGACTTTGTATCTGATTTTTGACAATATTCTAAAGTGAATGGAAAAGACACCAGTTGATAAACTAATCAGTTTGGTATTATCCTTGTACGTATTAGAATAGTAATAGGTGCTAATTTTCAGTTCAATAAGATTAAACTAAACAAAATTCAAGTTTTTCTTTTCATCAACATACTCTTACTAGGCCAAAATTCAATTATTTTTTACATTACATTTAGTAAAGTTAGTTAGCAAAATGATGAAATCACTAGTATCAAACGGGGTTGAGTTTTACTTTTGTATAAGGAACAATCTTTTCTATGATTTCCAACTCAGGTTCCTCAGTAATTAACCATGAGTAATAAATTATCATATCAATGTGATACATACTTATGCAAAGGATTTGGATATTAGGATCCCATCCCTCTATGTATAACTCCATATGTAGCCTTATAGTTGTATTTGGTTGACTGATCAAATCAAACCACTGATACCAATAATATCTTGGCTTCGCTTAACTACCACTACGCTTGTTCTTTTATTCATCTGATTCTAATTGAATCTATTTGAGTCTAGTCCTATAGATCAACGTATATTTTTATTTACAAACAAATTAATTCCACTTGAATAGTTCACAGTATAGTATGTGGGTGACTACATATATAAAACGTGGTTTAGCAATTACGAATAGACCCACGGTTGAAGACAAAAAAATTACTGTAAACGTGTACAAAAGTAGCCTGTTGGAATTATATGAATAAAGTGCTTAATTATTTATAAACCATTTATCACCACATCCACTACATTCCAAATTTAAATCAGGATCCCTGTAATTCACTTTGTGTCGCTTTCAGGCATTCATCGAATGAATATCTGGATATGTATTAAAAGTCACTTCTAAATTGTCTAAAATGAAATCTTTAACTTCATAACTAACAATTGAAGTTGGAATATACTTACTTTCCTCTCTTCATATAAATGATCTCCTGACATTCATTGGTAAACAATCCAGTTGGTGGTAAAGAATCATTTCCGTTTGTTCAGGTAACATCTAAAAATTGGAATGACAGTATACCCGGATGAATAGTCCTTCCTATTGATAAGTTGATTAAATCTTCGGTATTTCTGTATTAGTTAGGAAATTTATTTACTCTCCTCGCCAACACTTTGTATTTTGTGGAAGAAAACAAATTTATAACGGTTTTTGCAATCTTAACGTAATTTTCTCCATAACCATTAGGATAGGGATGTTTAGAAGCAGTGTGGAGCAGTTCGCACTTTAATCACAGAACAATCGAATTTTCAAATAGTCTTGGAAAAGTGTTTCCACTTTTCATTTGCAGTTGTACTTCTGAATAACTATAGATGGGCTATTGACGGTGAAGAGAGATTCATAAGTCATAAACGAACAATGAATATTTTTAAATTCACTTGGTATTGTTTGGTTGAATCTTCCCATTGATGTTTAGGACTGCAATTGATCAGTCTTTTATTGGCATATGTGCATACGTGCGTATTGCTTCAATATAGCCTTAATTCATAAACATTATAGACAAAGATAGATAGTAGCTAGTAGTGGAATCCAGGACGCGCATTTCGACCTATTTGGGACTCGTAACCTGGATGTACTGCACCTCAGAGTTGATGTTCACTCTGGGGTTCGAATCAAGTACCGTTCGCTTCAAACACCATGGCATTATACACTTAGCTTTCCATCTCTGCTTACAATGCTTGTCAATTGAGGCAATATCGAGGCAATTCGCACGGTATGCACATATGCCAATAACACACTGATCAATTGCAGTGCTAAACATCAATGGGAACATTCAAGGAAACAATATCAAGTGAATTTCAACTCGAACCGATTGCACAAGTGGCTACCAGGACTCAGTAGCTAAGTGGATAACGCGATGGCGTTTAAAGCGAATGGTACTGGATTCGAGCCCCAGAGTGAACATTAACTCTGAGGTGCAGGTACATTCAGGTGACGAGTCCCAAATAGGTCGAAATGCGCGTCCTGGATTCCACTGCTAGCCACTATCCATCTTTGCTTATGATGAACATTTTTGTTCTTTAGCATTCAAAACTCAGTAGTTTATATCCAAAAATACGCGATATAAAAACTTCACTGGGTTTGATAACTTTATCTGAAACTAATAATCTTAAGTACTGAACCCAAATAGATTCTACAGTACCGAAATCATAGAATTAGAAATCAGTCTAATAGGTGCACGCAATCGTTTTTGGATGCGAAATTTGTGATTCAATGTTGTAGTTAATGAAAGCATTAACGAAAGTGTCAACATTACTAATCATATCTGGATGAGGAACTTTATCATAAAATACAGTAAAATGAACATCACTACAACAAACAGACTTAAGATGCCCAACCATCCCTTCACCTTAATGAGAGGATAGTAATTTTCTTGATGATTTACTTGGTGAATTTTCTTGAGAATCAATAATTTATCAATTAAATAGACAGTCTCATGGCTATGAGTGTACGTTTGATCGAATCGATTTTACAGGTTATTTGATATATTCATGGGCCAAAATTCAAGTTAATTAAAAGATTTGTAATTTATGTAAACAGCTGTCACCTCTTTAAATGAGCATTTTGGTGGTTGTATCTGCTTAAATATATTAAATATAATATATTAAATAAATCAATCCCTACTTTTAAGCCATTAAACAGCTAAGTATAAAGCTGATCACAGAAATTGCATTTAACCGGTTGCTCTCAATGTTCACAAATGAAATGAGTAATTTGTTATTCATCATTTGTATGCAATATCGATTTTTCTTTACAGCAAAAGTTGTCAGTTTTCATATGACCTATAAAACAATAGTATAATAACATTGCTAAGTCAGGAGAAGCCAGGTTTTTCTTAGTGAGCTATAGCCATTATTTTTGATGAATGTAATCAAATGAGTTACAACTTTATCGTCTTTGATATCCATTACAACCATAGATCAAATTTCAAAACAATCCAAAATGCATCATCACTTGAATTAATATCCAACTGCTAATTACATGATCGTACCAAGACTCTAAGAAAATAATTGACAGGATTATATGTAATTAAGAAAATAGGAATACCTCATTCTCTTTAAAACAAACTTTTGTATTAACAAATAGGCTATCAATTTAAAACATGACAAGACCATGAATGTACTTGAATGTATTCCGTTAAAATATGTGTAAAACATACAATAATTTACTAAGAATTCGCCGTTTATTACAAAAACGAGAACATCGAAGTAATAGTACTAATTAGATAAACAAAATATCATATTATTGGAAGACACTGTTTGCCTTAACACTTACATTGTTCCTGAATATTTTAAGACTAATAATTATGAAAATTGTAACATGACTAATTTAGTTAGTACCTGTCAATAAATAACACCATCTGTAACAATTCTAGAGTTACTGCCAATCCCAAGCCCACACAAACGAGGAGGGTTAGGCATGCGATTGGCAACTCCATCCCGAAGAAAACAACTTTGCTAAAAAAATCACCAACCACATTAAACAAATTGAACCATTTAAACTCTGTCCTGGGACTTGAAGGAAGAATTATGACGACGCCTCAGGATGAAAGCCGAGATTCTTCGAATGTCACGAGAACGATGCCCCTTCTAACAACCAGAACAACAAGTAACATAGGTACATGGAATGTTCATGCAATCTGGGGGACCTGGAGGACCACTCAACTAAAAACGGAAATGAAGAAATACAAATTAGGAGTACTTGGAATCAGTGAAACCCATTGAACCCAAGATGGACAGCACAGACTAGATACGAGAGAGATGCTTCACTAATCTGATGACGAAGAGTAAAATGCTCAACACACTCAGGCAGTTGCTCTGATGCTGTCCAAAGAAGAACGAAATGCACTTATGTGATGAGAATCTCATGGATCCAGAATCATCAAAGCATCGTTCAAAACAAAGAAGGATGGAATCACGATGAATGTCACCCAATGTTATGTACCTACCAATGATAGCAACGACGACGATAAAGATCAGTTCTACTCGAGGCTGCAATCAATCATAGAGAAGTGCCCAGGAAAGGATCTCACCATCCTAATGGGAGACCTTAACGCCAAAGTTGAAACAAAAAACACAGCATATGAAGATATCATGGGACGACATAGACAGTGAGAGAGACGAAAACGGAGAGAGATTTGCAAATCGATGTGCACTCAGCAAATTAGTAGTAGGTGGCACAATATTCCAACAAGAATGCATGCACAAAGCTACATGGATCTCACCGGACCACACCACAAAGAACCAGATCGATCATATTTGTATCAACAAAAAAATTCCGAGGGACAATGAAAGACGTGAGAACCAGGAGAGGAGCTGATATAGCTTCAGATCACCACGTGGTTGTGGCCAAGATGAAACTGAAGCTAAATAAACACTGGACAGCTTTGGAAACAACAGTACAAAAGTCCGATACAGTCTTCCTTCAACATACTGAAAAATCCAACGAATTCATGATAATCCTCAACAAAAGGTTGCAAGCCTTACAGGATCTACTCAAATAAGAAGAAACTACGATGGAGGACAACTGGAAACGGATCAAAGAAGCATGAACATCAACTTGTCAAGAGGTGCATGACCCGCAAGAAGCATCATCATAAGGAATGAATCTCTATCGACAGCCTAGATAAGATTCAAGAAGACAACAATTGACAACAGACCAACAACAATAGAGAAGGTCAAAGCACAAACTAAACGCACAGAAACAAACAAGCAAGTGAAGAAGAGCATTAGAGGCGACAAGCAGAAATATGTGGAAAACCTAACAACGATAACGCGAAATGCTGAAAGATAAGGAAATATGAAACAACTATATGATACATTTCTGGTTAGCGTTTTTTTAGCGAGTTGATTTTCTACGGGATGGGGTCGCTAACCCCATGCCCAACCCTCCTCCTTTACCCGGGCTTGGGACCGGCAGTAACCCTCAGAGGAGCTACAGGCGGAGGAAAAGTCTTCAACCGATTATTGTTAAACAGGATGAAGGATTCCGTAGACGCCCAACTTCGAGATCAACAGGCTGGACTTCGTAAGGATAGATCGTGCACAGATCAAGTCGCAACTCTACGAATCATTGTGGAACAATCAATCGAATGGAATTCATCACTCTACATCAACTTCATCGACTACGAGAAGGCATTTGATAGCGTGAACAAGACGACACTATGGAGGCTTCTTCGACACTACGGCGTGCCTGAGAAGATAGTCAATATCATACGGAACTCCTATGGTGGACTAAACTGCCAAATCGTCCACGGAGGACAACTCACCGACTCGTTTCAAGTAAAGACCGGTGTTAGGCAAGGTTGCTTACTCTCACCCTTTCTCATTCTCCTGGTGATCGACTGGATCATGAAGACGTCAACATCTGGAGGAAATCACGGGATACAGTGGACAGGCAGAATGCAGCTTGATGACTTAGACTTCGCGGATGATCTGGCTCTTCTATCACAAACGCAACAACAAATGCAGGAGAAAACGACCGGTGTAGCAACAGCCTCAGCAGCAGTAGGTCTCAATATAAACAAAGAGAAAAGCAAGACTCTTCGATACAATACAATATGCACCAATCCAATTACACTTGACGGAGAAGCTTTGGAGGATGTGGAAATCTTTACATATCTGGGCAGCATCATTGATGAACACGGTGGATCAGATGCAGATGTGAGGGCGAGGATCGGCAAAGCAAGAGCAGCATACCTACAGCTGAAAAACATCTGGAGCTCAAAACAATTGTCAACCAACACCAAGGTTAGAATTTTCAATACAAATGTCAAGACAGTTCTTCTGTATGGGGCAGAGACGTGGAGAACTACGAAAGCCATTATCCAGAAGATACAAGTGTTTATTAACAGCTGTCTACGCAAGATACTTCGGATCCGATGGCCAGACACTATCAGCAACAAGTTACTGTGGGAGACAACAAACCAGATTCCAGCAGAGGAGGAAGCGCTGGAAGTGGATTGGGCACACCTTGAGGAAATCAGCTAATTGCGTCACAAGACAAGCCCTCACATGGAATCCTGAAGGTCAACGGAGAAGAGGAAGACCAAAGAACACATTACGCCGAGAAATAGAAACAGACATGAGAAGAATGAACAAAAACTGGATAGAACTAGAAAAGGAAGCCCAGGACAGAGTGGGTTGGAGAAAGCTGGTCGGCGGCCTATGCTCCATTGGGAGTAACAGGCGTAAGTAAGTAAGTAAGTAATATGATACAACGAAGAAAGTAGCAGGAAGATATCGCAAACCGGAGAGACCCGTCACGGACAAAGAAGGAAAAACAATCACGGAAATTCAAGAACAGAGGAAAAGATGGGCAGAATACTTCGAGGAACTGCTGAATAGACCAGCTCCAATGAATGCACCGGACATTGAAGCAGCACACACATACCTACTTATAGCTGTCACACCACCAAGGGTCGAAAAAGTCAAGATGGCCATCTAACAAATCAAGAATGGAAAGGCAGTGGGACCTGACAATATACCACCTGAAGCATTGAAGTCAGACATAGAAGTAACAGCAAACATGCCTCACCTTCTATTCAAGAAGATTTGGGAAGAACAACAAGTGCCACTGACAAACTGGAAAGATGAACACCACGTCAAGATGCCAAAGAAAGGAGATCTGAGCCAATGTGAGAATTACAGAGGCATCAGTTTGCTGTCAGTACCAGGAAAATTTTTCAGTAGAGTGTTGCCGAACTGGATGGAAGACGCAGTAGACGCCCGACTTCGATATCATCAAACCGGATTCCACAAGGATCTGTCGTGCACAAACCGAATTGCGACACTACTCATCATCGTGGAACAATCAACTGAGTGGAACTTGTCACTATAATTCACATTCATTGATTATGAGAAAGTGTTTGACAGCCTGGATAGTGAGACATTATGGAACCTTCTTCAACACTATGGTTTACATAAGAAAATCACCAACAACACATGGAAATCATACGACGGAATTCATACAGTGCAATGTGGAACATGGAGGACAGTTGACAGATGAATTCCAAGTGATGACCGGAGTCAGACAAGGCTGTCTACTCTGCCCCTTCCCCATTCTTCTGGTGGTTGACTAGATTATGAAGACCTCGACACTTGAGGGAAAGCACGGAATACAATGGACAACTTGCATGCAAATAGACTATCTGAATTTCACAATTGACCTGACCATTCTATGGCATACACACCTGCAAATGTAGGTCAAGACAAACAGTGTAACAGCAGCCGTTGTTGCAGTAGGCCTCAACATACACAAAGGAAAAACCAAGATCCTCAAGTACAACACAGAGAACACCAACCCAATCACACTTGATGGAGAAACTCTGGAAGATGTGGAATCGTTCACGTGCCTGAGTATCATCATCGATGAACAAGGGAAATCGGATGCAGATGTAAAGGCGAGGATTGGCAAAGCAAGGACAGCAATTCTACAATTGATGAACATATGGAGCTCAAAACAAATATCAACTAACTTCAAATTGAGAATCCTCAATACGAACGTGAAGACGGTCCTACTATACGGAGCTGAAATGTGGAGAACTACTACAACCATCATCAAGAAGTTACTAGTATTTATAAACAGTTGTCTATATGAGATACTAAATATCCGTTGACCAGACACCATCATTGACAGCCTACTGTGGGAGAGAACAGACCAGCTTTCAACTGAAGAGAGAATTAGGAAAAGAGGTTTGAGGTGGATAGGACATACATTGAGGAAATCATCAAACTATATCATGAGGCAAGCGCCAACATGGAATGGTGAAGAGAAACGGAAATGTGGAAGGCGGAAAAACACACTGCGTCGGGAAATGGGAGGAGATATGAAAATGATGAATGTTAAGTGGAAAGAACTGGCAAGGATTGTTCATTTCGGGGTTGGATGGATAATGCTAGCGAACAGCCTATGCTACTTGACGAGTGTTAATAAGTGGACAACATATCTTAATCAATACATTCATACTCAGTCTAATGAAGATATATATATATGGATTAAACTGTTATAGATTCATTACAGTCTCTGGGTCAAATACTCTAAATTTTTAATAAACTATATTCATAACTTTTATGTGGCATGATGTTTTTATAATAAAATGATAACTTTTACTCAAAAAAGTAAACTGTTATTAGAATAATAATTATATTCACGAAAAGAAGAACAAAGTAATGTGGAGTGATATTGTCTGGTCCAATGTTATTTGATCAAATAAAATCACACCATTAGAATATTATATATATATATATATATATATATATATATATATATATATATATATATATATATATATATATATATATATATTAAGTCAACTTGGAATTATAACGATCATTTACCAACAATAATGATGTTACTTGGGTTTGTGGGTCTGATAACCGTCATACGGATTACATTGACAGAAGGTAATTCTCATTTTTGATGTTTTAAATCGACAATTACAATCAGAGACAAATTGTATACACATAAACATCTTGATTAAAGTGAAGAGTTAGATCATTTTTAAGTAGTATTACATTCTGATGATTATAGCATTTAATTTGAACACATGTTGTCTTTCCAGCAGTAAATATTTCGTAAAGGCTTTCTGAATAAAAATGTAAATTTAATGTTACGTTGTACTGTAAATTATCGATTAGTTTCAAAGTGATCAAACCAACGGATTTTCGGAACTGTTCACGCACCAAAATCAAAATGTGGCCAGTTGTAATTCCTTACACAGTTGTTTAAGTAAACTGACTAAAAGAAATCTGGCATTCAATTCTCATGTTCAATACAATACACCACGATTACTTTACTATGTGCTTTAACAGAATGTTTTTAAGTTAATTAACGCCACATAAATTACTCCTACTTATTTTTCTCTGTTTTCTATATTTTCTCATCGGGATTTTGAAACATTAAGCCGACCTAAGTACAATAAACACCAAAAGAACATATGCATTTGATTGTGCTACATTTAAAGTCGATAATGAAGAAAGTCCAGATTTTGATTATAAATATGAATTGGAGGTACCCAGTGATAGTGAGTTAACAGTAGTGTCTACTTCGAACAATTTGACTTTGTGTGGCATACCATTGTGTATACCACAAGTTTTAAAACTTACTATATCTAAGAAGCTGAAGACTGAGACCAATTTCAGAAAAATATTCAGCGAAGAATTCGAAAAGACTCTAGGTAAGTCTCATAACTGACTGTTCATGTGAGAATATGATTGTAACTACTTTTCATACTTCAATCTACTTTCAGTAATCATTGAAAATATTAAATGATAAACCGTCTACATTGCTTAATGTTTTTGGGTTCCTAATTTCAGGTGCACCTAAGATTTCAGATATCATTTCTGAATTCGATGGTTCACTGTACACAACACTGCGTTGGAAGCTTCAAGATAGCGATGATTGCAAAGACAAAACGCTGGTATTTTACCTTTATGGAGATACGACAATTATGCAACTAGCTAAGGGAGAAGAAATGCAGATTCCTGGTTTAAGACCTGGGCAAACCTACACTGTATATGCTTTCCCAAATCATGTGGACAGTGAAACTATTGTTTACATGAGCGCCCCACATACTTTCACAGTTCGTAAGTCCCAACAGACATTATAAATATTAATTAAATAAGAGACTATTTCGTGTTTTACGCACATGGACAGAATTTGTTTTGTATGTTTTTGAAATGTGGTCAATTTTTAATCCCCACTTTTCCTTTTGTACTTAAGGTAACTGTACTGGAAAGTAATAATGAGTTTATAGATATAGCCCCAGTCAACGTTCATTACAATATGTTTATGGCTTAAAATGAAAATAAAAATTTGATACTAATATCAAAAAATATATCATAACAGCTGCTGAAACTTTCATAAGATTACAATTTCTCGTTTATACTTGTAAATAAGTATCAACAAAATTTCATCAATTAAATCTGCCGAAAGCATCTTTACGCTTACTTTTAGATAACTAGTAGAAGCATGATTTGTGTATGAGACAGTGTAAGGTTATTTCTCATCATCAAATAATGAAAACCTCAAGCTACTTTGTACTTCAGCGATTAGTGCCAACATCAATGAAGATCGTCGCTTCAATGAAAATTCTTTCAGTTATAAATTGTGATATAAGAATTCAGATCAGATCGTCATCATAATGAGTTTAAACCTTGAGTAAGAGCAAGGAAGTAGAAATCTAAGAATAAACTTATGGGCACTAACGAATGAAATGAAAATGTGTTTTTGCATACAAAATAATACCGAATCATACATATACAAAGCACATACAGTAACAACGGTATAAAGTTTGAAAAATGCTAGGAATGTTAATGAATCTCTACATAATTCGCGTCAAAAGTCTATCTTTAAAGTGATTTTTAAGTTGTGAAAAGTAGGAATTCTTCAGTCGGAAAAAAATATATCATCTAATTTCGTTTTAGACATAAAAGTTAGTTATTTTGACACGTTTCTACAGAAGGTTATTGATTTAAAATTCTATCCATACAATACTTCAACCACTACAAATAAATTACATGAATATGACCAAGAAGAGCACTTAACAAAACTGTCTTAATATTATGGAGCATGTCACGTAAACTGAACGAGAATGACAAAAGTGATTGGACATCACTATTAATCTATACAGTTATCAACACATACCGAACTATTTGTTAATCATATATACATCTCAAGTCACTCAACAACTACACAAAACAAATTTCATTCACTCAGAATGTGTGTTATTCAGTTATCGACACACTTCAATCAAAACTAACCATAAATACTCATTCTTCTTCTTATTATTATCTCCCATGTCACGTGATCGTTTGTCGTTTCCTTTTCTCATTCACAGCTTAAATATATGCCTCAATAATGGTGATGATGATGATATGGAGCTGGTCGTTTGGACAATCGACAGTTTATCATTATCAAAACTCTCAACATTGTTTAATTAATTTTTGTGTATGTGCAAAACATGTTGTCATTCTCTTATTATTTTAATTATCTGCAATATTTGTTTGCCTTCAACCAAATTATATCAATAAATTGCTAATCTGACAGTAAATGATTTTTCAATAACTTGTTTGGGTATTCGAAAGATATTACACTGATGCGTTCATTTACGCAATCTGATGTAGATATTTAGACGATTGTTATAGACGGAGAGGTTTGTAGTCATTTTAGTATTTGATAATTAATGTCATTCCACTTCGGAACTCGACTGGATTGAGTTAAGACACAAGTGATCAATATTTTCAAGCAGAGAACACGTATCTCACTTACCACTCACTGTGTTTCGTGTCTTTGGAAACCATATAGAGAACGTATACAGTGTCCCTTTATGACACACATTTTACTTTATATCTCACCGGATACTCACACCAAAGTGAGCTAAACAGTAAATAATTATTGTAATAATGAGTTGAAACTATGCGGATAACTGACAAGATTTCATTGTTAGTTTTGTTTAAATTATCATAGAATATTTTAAAAATTCAGTGGTGTCTAATTACATGACCTCTGTGAATAAAGTCTAAACACTTCTAGTTGCAAACAATCTTTTATTCTTTTATCTAATTTTAATTAGAACTGATAGACAACAAAGTCATTTCAACGAAACTATTCAGTGATTGTCTGTTTTGTTTGCTTTCTTCTATATATTCAAAATTGTATGGAAGATACATAAACACGCACTATTTTGTTTATTAAAAGCCAAAAAATGAAGTTGAATAGAATTTCTCTCTTCACTAATTACTTGAGTCTAAATTAGATTTATGTGTGGTAAATGTAGGAATGAGTTTAATGAGGATTGTTGTCTGTTAAATTAGTGACGTTATATATAAAAGAGGGTGAGATCTATTGTGATCAATTCGGAATTATTCTCGACGTCGTCTAAGCATGCTTCCCTTCATTTTAATTTAAGTAACGTTATCTACATGATTCGTCTTTCGTATAATTTTAAATACTAACAAGTAGGCACTGGACCTATGAGTGACAATGTTTAGAACTGGAGTTTGCACACAATGAACGTTACTTGGTTATTTGTAGCAACGACATCACAGTTTGAGTTTCAATATCTCAATAAGCACTAGTCTCCTCAATGTTTGTAAATTCTGAGACCAGAACCTATCATTCATAATTTCGTGAAAAATAAAAAGCCTTTTCAATTGCGAATGGATTGAAATATTGTAGTATGATGTTCACAATGCGAAGTCATTTATAGTGCCTAATCATAACTAGGAAAAGATTTACGATTGTCAGTTGTCCAACGTTTGAACTATTTAAAAATCTTAGTGAACGATCATCTTGTTGCTTATAGCTTAAGGTTTTGGTTACTTTCTGTATAATAGTAGATTTGTCGTCATCCAGATTTTTTAAATATTTCTGTCTTCATTTTCTCCAGCTTTTCGAAAAAGATAATATATCTAGACATAGAATCGAAATTGGGAAAAATTAGACATCTACATTTCAACCACTAATTTGTGAACTTAATTGAATATTAATGTGTATGAGTTCTAGTGACTGTAGTCTTTCTGAATATCCTGGAAAGATTCTAAATTCATTATCATTTGGTTTGACCGGTCAATTATGTTTACAAATTACATACAACGTTTATAAATTGACTATTGTATAAATAATTTAATAAATTTGTTTAGCTTTTTATAATAACTTTTGATAAACAGTATCATTTAAACTAACAGGTTACTAAGAAATAGCCAATTTTTTATTCATGTGTTATTTTGATCCACACTAGTTTCATCCATTAGGTTTCAATGTAATTACCAGCATAGTTGCGTCGCTCTCCCGTACTTAATACTTTGATGTTATATGGTTGAAAGAGATGGACAGAAAACCTTGAAACTTAGTTAGATGGTATGCATTTCACTTACCTAAAAACCACTGATACAACCTTGTTGCTAATATCCTGTTGGCACGAAATTTCGGTTCGGGGATTCTTGCCTTCTGACTAGCACCATTTATCTTTAAAACAGTCTGCCGTATAACTTCACTGATTGTTACCCAAACAACTTCTAAAACTACACCATAAACTGTAAAACAAAAGGTTACGCCAACGAACATTATTATTAATCAGCGAGAACAAATCAAATGTTATTTCCAAATATAAACGAGTTGTTTAGAGGCAGACAAAAAATAGAGTACATTGAAAATTAAATGAGAGAATTAAGAGAAAAAACTAATGTGACTTAAAAAATAATATGAAATTTCTGTGTAACTGAGTAGATTGGTTGGTAACCTTGTTGACTGAAGTCAAGAAATTTCATATCCAGGATGCTTTAATATGTCGGACTACTTTTTCAGCATTAAGTAGTGTGAAATAGTATACAAAAAAGCAGCAAAATCCCACCTAAGGCTTCCATGGAGCTCTGCTGGGTAGTAGGGGCAACCTTGCTAGACAAGCTGGGAGGTCAGTGGAGATCAGACTAACCCACTGCTCTGCTTCAAACCAGATTAACTGGGTTCCATTCCCGTGAATTTCTAAAAAATATCTTGGGCTGCCCAGTGTGTACGCTAATAGGTAAAAATTGTATGACTTTCGGTTTGTGGGGTTTATGTATGCAGGTATATGCAAAGAGTATCCGCGTGGGTTGGCAAAAGGGACTTAAGATGAACAATGCTTTTCCTATGTCCAATAAAATTATTGGCCTAATCCTTCCGGTTGAAGACATAATAAAAAGAGATGGTAGCAACTACTAAGGTGAGGTGACCATTAATCTTCCCTGAAAGAGTGCTTATGCCTATATGTACTCCATGAATTGTAGAGACAAAAGCCTTTGTACCAGTGATGTACATGTAATGAGTAAGTGACAGTTAGTCTTCTTAAATATTTTTCTAAAGGAGTGGTGACTATCTGCCCTCCCAGGTGGTTAAATATACTCGTATGTATTCTATGGAATGGATGAGTGAAAATTTGTATGTTACCGGTGTGAATGTAACGTATATCTGCTCACAGGGTAAGTACACCTATGTGAATGCCAAGGTATGCATGGGTGGAAACGTCTATGTTATTAGCATGCATGTAGATTATATATGTTCCTAGTACGACACCCGTGCTTCAAGACCTGGGGTAACGAATTCCCACAAAATAGCATCCATCCGATGAATTTGTTAGCCTTGAGAAGCTAAACAATTTCCAGGCAAGCCAACCTTAACACAGCTGGAGCATCGCATAAAAAGGAGGAAAACAGAATAACAAAGGAAATATGTTGTTTGGATTGTCGATAATAGGTAGTATTAGGTCTCTGACATATATGATGAGTTTCAAAAAGTACAAATTTGTGGGATACAAGTAAGTGCCATAAGTTCATTCTTCAATGATAGGCGCTTTTAAGCATTCTTCTAGAATTAAACAACAGTTTGTAAGTTGTTTCAGGAACTGAGTTTATTTAAAAATTCCAGAATTTTATTTTTTAGCAGGTAGGTTAAATTATGTAGACTTGTTTATTATAAGCACAATAAATTAAAACATAAGGTAATTTCCTATACAAAATCCATGGCAGTATTCTGTGATCAACTAGAAACTGTAAGTAAATCTTGATTCAAGAGTCTATCATCAACAGTAAACCATTTAACAATGTTCCTCTTTATTTGACTTAAAGAAATGATGTACAGTAAACAAAAACTACAAATGATTTAACTCGTTCAAATAACTGAAAATATACTTAGAATTCAAATAGTCATAAGTGTACATGTTATTAACAAGTAACTAAGTTGAAATTAATTTGAACGAATTATTAAGTGTCAACTATACAGGAAGGCTGCTAGAATATTTGGGCTACCTGTTTCTCCCTTACTTCCTTACGCCTGTTACCCTCATGAAGGAGCATAGGCAGATCACCAGCATTATCCATCCAACCCCAAAATGGACAATCCTTGACAGTTCTTCCCAGTTAACATTCATCCTTTTCATATCTCCTCCAATTTCACGACATAGTGTGTTTTACTGCCTTCCACATTTCCGTTTGTCTTCACCACTCCAAGTTGGCGCTTGCCTCATGATATAGCTTGATGATTTCCTCAATGTATGTCCTATCCACCTCAAACCTCTTTTCCTAATTCTCTCTTCAGTTGAAAGCTGGTATGTTTTCTCCCACAGTAGGCTGTCAATCATGGTGTCCGGTCAACGGATATTGAGTATCTCACATAGACAACTGTTTATAAATACTAGTAATTTCTTGATGATGGTTGTAGTAGTTCTCCACATTTCATCCAAATACAGTAAAACTATCTTGATGTTCATATTGGAGATTGTGACTTTGATATTGATTGACAGTTGTTTTGAGTTCCATATGTTGTCACGAAAGAACAAAATATCCATTGATTTATATTCGAAAAATTTCAATTGTGTATTACTATTCTCCACTAAAAACGCTGTATTGGACCTTTGTACTGTTGTTTCCTCAGTTGCCCAGTGTTTATTTAGCTTCAGTTTCATCTTGGCCACAATCAGGTAGTGGTACGAAGCTACATCTGGTCCTCTCCTGTTTCTCACGTCTTTCATTGTCCCTCGGAATTTTTGGTTGATCCAAATATGATTTATCTGGTTCTCTGTGGTGTGGTCCGGTGAGATCCATGTAGCTTTGTGCATACGTTTTTGTGGAAATATTGTGCCGCCTACAACCAATTTGTTGAATGCACATCGATTTGCAAATCTCTTTCCGTTTTCGTCTCTCTCACATTCTACGTCGCCCCATGATATCTTCATATCCGGTGTTGTCCATTTCGACTTTGGCTTTTAGGTCCGCCATCAAGATGGTCGGGTCTTTTCCTGGGCACTTCACTATGATTGATTGCAGCCTCGAGTGGAACTGACCTTTATCGTTGTCTTTGCTATCATTGGTGAGTACATAACATTGGATAACATTCATTGTGATCCCCTCTTTCTTTGATTTGAATGATGCCTTGATGATTCTGTATACGTGAGATTCTCATCACATAAGTGCATTTCGTTCTTCTTTGGACAGCATCAGAGCAACTGCCTGAGTGTGTTGAGCATTTTACTCTTCGTCATCAGATTAGTGAAGCATCTCTCTCGTATCTAGTCTGTGCTGTCCATCTTGGGTTCAATGGGTTTCACTGATTCCAAGTACTCCTAATTTGTATTTCTTCATTTCCGTTTTTAGTTGAGTGGTCCTCCAGGTCCCCCAGATTGCATGAACATTCCATGTACCTATGTTACTTGTTGTTCTGGTTGTTAGAAGGGGCATCGTTCTCGTGACATTCGAAGAATCTCGGCTTTCATCCTGAGGCGTCGTCATAATTCTTCCTTCAAGTCCCAGGACAGAGTTTAAATGGTTCAATTTGTTTAATGTGGTTGGTGATTTTTTTAGCAAAGTTGTTTTCTTCGGGATGGAGTTGCCAATCGCATGCCTAACCCTCCTCGTTTGTGTGGGCTTGGGATCGGCAGTAACTCTAGAAGAACTAAAGGCGGAATTTATTAAACCATTCCCAGATATTAAACCAATAATAATGAATATTCAACAACGAATGAACAAAAACAAGATGAAGATTAACCTTATCTCAGTTACATTACATCATGTTTTTTTACGTAAACCATGGTATTATTTATGAACATTCACATTGGAAAAATTAGACACCAAATGTGTTATACTACTCTAAAATTGTGGCATTTCAAATAGACGGTTTACTTTATCTACCTGCTTATCTATTATTCTAATTACCTGCCATGTGTCATGTGTTATTATTTCCTAATAATAATAAAGATTCACAGTATTGGCTGTGATGATTGATATATCATAGTGATTTGTTATTTATTTGAAACTGAAGGTAGTTACATAAGTGGTCAACCTCTTTACATGTTTAGTCTATTCGATGATTTAATGAATCCGATCGATTCTAATTTTATTGTAAAAGTTTAGCCATACGATATGAATCAATGATTACTGGTTACCAGTTAATTCATGCAAAATTATGTAATCAATAATTACAGTTGAATTTATTAAATATTCTTGGATAATTTCACTTGCATTATCAATTATCTCAAATGTATCCTATTGTATACCAAATAAATTGTTACACAAAAACAGTCAAGATATTACGTGCCAAATCGCACGATTTTACCGACCTTGTATAATAAGTTAAATGTAAAATTGAGTATTTAAAAACTAAGTCATTGAAGTTTGATAGGAAATCTAACATAATTTTATTAGATTTATTCCATGAATCTAATTGTTCACAATGATTAACTTTGACTCACTGATGAAAAAATCTTGGGTAACTAGTCTAGATTGATTTGAAATTGAAAGTAATATTTTAGAATGCTAGGCAAATCTTAAAAAGCCATACTCGATTTTTATTACCTTTTTCTTTGAAAGGACCATCTGCTCAACAACATGTATTGATGTTTATAATCAAAAGTGGAATCTATGTATCAGTCTACAGCCATGTTGAAAGGCTAATTGGGAGGAAAAAACAATCACTTTACGTCAACCGTATTTTTGATTTTTCCATCGAAAAAAACTGTTAACTGTAACGTAGACTTAACCCATCGAAATCCTTTCACAATGAATGTAACATATTGAATTGTACACAATCTCCAAAATTTAAAATAAACTACACGATAAAGCTTACTCTTATTGGGTGTTGGTCAAAGTTTCAATAAGATATAAACCAATCACTTAGAAATTGTTTATCGATACATTAAACTACACCCAGATTTGAAAGTGTATCAAGACTAGATTAGCTGACCGAAACAGAATTGAAACATAATTCAAAAACAAATTTAAATCATACTAACACTAAATTTTTAAACAACAAAATAGTGTCATCCTTTTGTTGTTTATATTAAGAATACAGTTTCCATAGATTTCCTTATACAATAATTTTCGTCTCCAGAATGATTTATTAGAAGTGGTTAATAGAAAAACTAAAAAGATTCTAAAATAAATAAGCGTTTTTCTATCAAATGAATGGAAAAATTGTATTTACTGTGAATAACTGGTGTTTATAGTGTTTATACATACAAAAAGACTTGTCCAAAGGTTGTGTATATCAAAGACCCATGTCAATTGAGATACTATTGAAAATCAGGAAGTGTTGAACACTTATTTTTCATCTTAGGATAGGATTTCTTAGTCGTGTGTCATCAAGATCCCACCAAAGATCAAAGCCAGGATGTTTTGCAATTTTCTTAAATGGGTAAGAAGTATGGTTTGGTGTTTATATCTTTGAATGACTGCATTTTAATAATGTTTATGTAAATCAATCAGTTTATTCGCCTAGTCACCCAGTCAAGCAACTTATTTAACGCCAACTGAAGAAACTCACTAGTAAATGAAGTTATGGAATAACTATTAATTGAAGCTTTAATAATGAACCGTGATCTAAAAACACAGATAACGGTTAATTTTAGTGGAGAATAGTAATACACAATTGAAATTTTTCGAATATAAATCAATGGATATTTTGTTCTTTCGTGACAACATATGGAACTCAAAACAACTGTCAATCAATATCAAAGTCACAATCTCCAATATGAACATCAAGATAGTTTTACTGTATTTGGATGAAATGTGGAGAACTACTACAACCATCATCAAGAAATTACTAGTATTTATAAACAGTTGTCTATGTGAGATACTCAATATCCGTTGACCGGACACCATGATTGACAGCCTACTGTGGGAGAAAACATACCAGCTTTCAACTGAAGAGAGAATTAGGAAAAGAGGTTTGAGGTGGATAGGACATACATTGAGGAAATCATCAAGCTATATCATGAGGCAAGCGCCAACTTGGAGTGGTGAAGACAAACGGAAATGTGGAAGGCAGTAAAACACACTATGTCGTGAAATTGGAGGAGATATGAAAAGGATGAATGTTAACTGGGAAGAACTGTCAAGGATTGTCCATTTTGGGGTTGGATGGATAATGCTGGTGATCTGCCTATGCTCCTTCATGAGGGGTAAGAGGCCTAAAGAAGTAAGTAAGTAAGTAGATAAGTGTTTACTCATCCATTTACTTACCATAAAATTCAACTACCTTCCATTTCATCTCGTATTATTACCAGAGATTCACATTGATCGTCATTTCAAAGAATTATGAAACGACCGTCTATTTTTATCTTTTGCTTATTTCTTAATAGTATTATGAATCACATCTCATAATCCATCACCAGTAAATAAAGAAAAGTCATTGCAATGATTATGGACAATGATTTCTCACAATTCAACTTCCATCGTTAATTAACGTCATTTGGTGAAATATTCTATAAGCAGATTAGTCTGGTTAGCTATAATAAAAGTCTATGGATCAGGTTATGATATTTAGTGCGGTAATATTGTGGAAAATGGTTCATCGTGAATAGGTTTTTCTCCATGCGTCGAAAATAGATGGGGAATTATTAAAAACCAAAAAGAGCTTGATAAAGATCTGTCTTATTCTAGATCTGAACACCTTAGAAGTTCGCATCAATGACATCTTTAAGAATTAAACCTGTCACAATTAGTGTATTCAGGCTATTAAGTTAGAACTTTATGGTCTTGTAATTCGAATTCAGTCAATATGTGATGACTGTTTATTAGAGCGAATTATGTTAATTTTGTCGATACTTATATTAGGCAGTGAACGCACTACCCTCATTATTAACTGTCCAGTATGTTAATGAGAATCTTATGGACAATATTACTTGAATTCTATGTGATTAACTGATTTCTTTAAATAAGACACATTTTATTATGAGTTACTATAATATGAAATTAATTATTTTTCTAGTTTGAACGGTCATCTGTGGTCAGTTGTATTTTAGTCATCGTTCATCGTTTACTTTTAAGATAAATTAATTTGTTCATGCACGCCAATAGGACTATCCATAGAGTAAAGAATAATTACTGAAATTTAATAAATCGAACTTATTCATGTTTGAAAAGTGATATATATATATATATTGATTGTGTGGTGTTCAGTAAAATAATACCATTTTCTATAATCGAATATAAATTAACCATTCAAGCATATGTATAAACAGATGTCAGTAAATAGTGTGCAAATAGTCTTAATATTCTCCCCTGTGTGTGTGTGTGTGTTTATTTTACTTAGGCCAATAAGTAACACTGAACAGTGATCATTCCATTCAACATGAAGCCGAAATAACTGACTCATTCATGTGCATTTTTAAGTGTAGGTGTAGTTATTGCCAAACCATCTACAGTTTAAGCGGTTCAATTCTATGAAAGGTTTTTGTTTAATAGGATTGTATGAAACAAATCTCATTAATTATTACGTAACTTCATTTAACATATCAATTGAATGAAAGGTGCAAGTTAACTGAGATACCTTCATCTTCAAAACAGATTTAACACCACAAACACCCGAAAGAAAATCACACATGTTCTTTAACTTTATAGGAATAGAGTCTTTACTCGAAAAAATTAAAATCAACTAATGGTAAGGTGTTGATTAACACATCGAGCATAAATTTAAGTCTTTGAAATAATAATAAAAGTCAACTATTAGTTTATTTTTTATTTAAATCTATCCATCAGTACAGTAATGAAACAACTACTACTGGCTACGTATAACGTCCAATGTGTATCTTTAATTTAACTTCATGAATTCAACATCACAACGGTGAATATTCATTTATAAGTGCTAACATGCAGGATACAAATAAACAATTAACTGGCACAACAAATGTCAATATCATGCTTAAAAATAAGATGACCGTAATCAATTTAAGTGAAAGGAAGAGACTTTTGTAAGCAAATGGACAGAGTTCAATGGTAAATACTGGTGAGTGGCCTATGTTCCCGCACGGGGAGTAACAGGCATAAGTAAGTAAGTGTTATTCATTTCAGATAAAAAGGTAGGCAAGACTTTAAAATCATCGCCTCAATCATTGAAACCTAATCATCTGGAATTCTTAGTAAAACAATGAAAATAACCAAAGATGACATTATCAATAATAGAAATTTATATGGGAATATAGGAAAAAGCATAATCGAAATTAGTAGTCCTTCAGTATCACAAATCTTGAAGACACTTTCCAAAGTATCTTTAAAACCAAATAACTTAGATGAAAATACTATGTATAAGTCTCTAAAAATAATAAAATATATCTTTCATAAAACTTATGTTTATCACAGGAAAAATGACTACTTTAATTTCATGAAGTAAAATAAATGGTTAAATTCAGAAAATCCACATTGATCGATCACTGAGTAGTGCCCATTGTCAATATTTCGCCGAATTATCAGTTCCTTCAAGATCGTAGGTACACTTTGTTGTCCAGTCCAATTAGGCTGAAACCTAAATTTCATGCAGTCGGTTTAATTTACGAATTTGAATCAAGCGAAAACAACAATTGAGGCAGAATAATATGAATTCATCTTATTTCGTGGTTTCTCATTAACCGCTTACAACCCTATGTGTATTAAAATATAACATTCATTTACGATATAATGCCAAACAACTGTCAGTGAAGACTGAAAGAATTAAAATAACTAAGATTTCCTGTTTATCATATTCAGTCAACATCAGAGTCAAAGAAAGTATAACCTCAAAACCTGATGATGATCACACCTAAGAGCCAGTAATGATTTTGAATCAGTTGAGAGGAAATACTTGTTGGCACCCTATGTATCATCTATGGTAACATGCAAAACAAAAGTTAAAACATTTATATACTTTCTAATCAATAACAAAAAAAGCATGCAGCAAAAATTGTATCATTAGGCGCGAACTTCTATGTGCAGTAACGTTTGTATCTAATCACATTACAACCAATTGACAATAATAAAAAAGTGGATTTGTACTATATAGATGAATTGATCTGATGTCATACAGTTGTTACGTATTAATTACCATTCGTATTTATGCGAAAATAGTTATTAAATTTGTTAGAAATTGTTATAACGTGTGATTGAGTGTGTTTGCCCTGTTAATATACGAACGTGCTGATTCCCGCCAATGAAAGAAGAGAGAATTGTCGATCGGAACAATGATACATAAAATCGTACGAGCAGTCTTGAGTGCATATCGGCCCTGCTATCAGCCTAGCCCAGCCAGTTAAGTTCAGAACACCAATAACAGCCTCGGCAATATGAATCATTATTCACAAACATACTGGGTTTATATACCAAGCATACTAACCACAACGTGCCATAAAATAGAAAATAACATTTGTACAATAATTGACCAAATGTGGCTCTAAATAGGGGGAAAGTAATCAATAATAATAGATCGAAGGTCAAAATAAAGCCAATGATATGAGGAACACGAATATGATTAGGTCGGTTATTTAACAACTATACAATAGGAAATATATATATTCCATTGGTCCATAAATAGTCCTCAGAGTTACCATTCATAATTCACCAGGGGATATAACAGAAATAATAGAACATTAAAGTAAATACTTGATTTATTATCACAGTTGAAATAACAAGTCGATCAAAGCTAGACCACCACTGCAAACCTGGAAGCGCTGGATGGCCGTTTCGTCCTGGTATAGGACTTCTTATCACTGCACATCCACGGTCCCGCACACTGGATCCGGTGCTTCCATATTTTTAGTGGTTGTCTAGGTTAGATTGACTCGTGATTTCAACTTTAAAAGTAATACAATCTCCACAAATGCCCGATAGTAAATTAACTTAATAATTATTACGGTTACCTATTCATCATTGTGATCTTTTGTTCGTCCTGATAACCGTTACTCGATAACGCCCAAACGGTGTATAAATCAGAAGGCGAATATATATATATATATATATATATATATATATATATATATATATATATATATACAAATGGAAATGCATGAATCATCGAATCAATTAAGCGATTAATAGTAAGGCTAGCAGAATTAATACATGCGTAGGCAGTAAGCAATGCTCAAGCGTACATTATAAAGGTACAATAGTTTAGATGGATTGTTATTGTGTGAATGAATCTGTCCATTAAATAAGTTAACAAAAGGCTTAACGAAATTGGGTATGAATAGAGATTGAACTGTACGTGAGCTGCTATATATTATTATTATTCTTTATTATTACATTAATGAATAGTCAGGCAGTTATCCAAAACCTTGGATTGTAAAAAATAGAGCGTATTTCTTCCAATTATGTTGTATGTTTAATACGAAATAAAATAACAGATCAGAGTAGATATTATGCAGCAGTAGTATGTCTGGGTTGACTTGATACATTTAGAGATTATTCACAAAACTATTCTCTAAATCCTAAATAGATGGAATTGTAATAGACTATATGAATATGTATTGGTGAGCGGAAACTAATATTCGTATAGTAAATATTTAACCAAAATTATATGAATATTGGTTGAGTGTCGGTTACAAAATCCATAGATAAAGTCGAAATTAAACATCACAGAATAGCCAATCGATATTCAATCCTGTACATTGTGATATACACAAGTTGAAATGAAAAAAAACAATGTTGTATTTCGAAAGTATAATTTGATACATAAAATTATACCAGACTGATCACCAAATCTTAAGAACTCGTTTCAATATTCTCGGTGGTGAAATTTCCTAGAAGTCTTATGAATGCATTTATTCAGTCATAACTTTTGTATTCAACCGACTATTCATTCAACTGTCTATCTTCAACTAGTTAAGTGAGTATTTAGTTATATCGTTTGATATAAATAAAAACCATTGAAATATCAGTGTCTTATATTTTATACTTAAGTTGAGGTAGAATAGTATTATTTCTAACCTGACCACGCCTATAACACATAAGTTTATATATAATTTGTCTCATATATACCTTAGAAACTAAAGCGTGAATAACCTGTAACGTTGAGACTTATTTTATTAACAGTAAACAAAGGCTAAACAAAAAATATTTCTCACTACTAATCAGACATATGCGAAAAAAAATATGGCTTAAATAAGAGTTTAAAACATAAGATAGATATTCTACCAATCGTATCGTCTGGTAAACTCTGAATATAAAAACTTTTGCCAATTTACTTCATTATGTTTCATTTTGTTTTGTGTAATCCCATACATTTTGATATCTGACCTTTTAATAGACTGGATTAAATATGGAAACTTCCTTTTTGTTTCGTTTAGCAAATTTTTGATAGTGTAGTAATCCGAATTAGTTTGTATCCCACAAGAGTTTTGATATGTTGTGTTTTGAAACAAACCAAATTCCTACAGATATTGATGTGGAACAACTTACGAGTGTTAGAAGTTATACACCGAAAATATTATGCTACAAGTCAAATAACTTTACTTAATACTGAAATATCTTAGGATGTCATCTTCCATCTATCACACGATTTGCCTTCTGTGAAACATTTTGTTGGAATTTTTACTGATGAACAATAAGCAATAGCAGCTGATATTGTCAATTTCTAACTTATGATTACTAAGGCCGATAACTGAAGCGAACGAGCTCCAAACAAGACGAAACATGTGTTCCTAGTTCCACTACAAGCCACAGTCTATGTGTTCTGACAGCTTGGGCCAAAATGACTTCATTGAAATGATCTCCTCATTATATACGAATGCTCTGGTACTGTCGAGTGTGTGTGGGGGCCCACCCTCTCTCTCGAAATGCTCTCACACGGCCACGCGTATATAGCCTCTGCCATGGAAGTCTTACTCACTGCCTTCTCGTGGCGGGGGTGTTGTTTACGAAGTTGAGGGGACGAAAAGCGAATGTCCTGCGATTTAACCATGTTGGTGGACACGGAAAGTCCACCTAGGGGAGTTGGAAAACCCCAGTTCCAAACCAGCGGTGCACATGGGCTCCAGGATCCTGAGGAAACAAATGGCGTATGAACCAATCGCTGTTCACCAGCCACCATAGGACTGCACCTTCTTACGATGCTCCACTGTCTTGTGGATCAGACCTTTAGGTCGAAAGCTTGGGTGTGGCCTCCTAAGAAAACCACCTGCTTCGATCTGGGCACCCAGGCAGTATCATAGCTCTCATACAACTGAATGGAATGAAAAAAAATTTTCGTGGCGCATATATATCGTGTTCCCACGTGAACCAATATTTATGGGTTCAAATAATAAATTAATAAATAACAGAGATTGGTCGAAATTCAGCCCACCCTAATGATGATCTCAATTATAAGTATTCAAGATTACACTCGCTCGTTCACTTGTTGAACTAGGTTTTCTCACTGATTGCGTAAATCTCTTCTGATAAATCAATAATTTATTTTAGCAAGTACAAACAGACATGTTTCTCACTTACTCTTAATTCTTTTATTTGACACCTGTATCTTGTCAATTACCTCTTAAGCTTTTTCAGATTGCTTTTTTTCTAACGGTATCAGACTATTGTACTATGAAGTAAGTTGATTAAAAAAGTGAATTACCTGTTTTATTTACTCTTCAAATTCTATTTGGTTTGACGAAAAATCTCATGAACAATAGTCTGCTACTCAAGAAGAAAGATTTCTCTCTGTTGATTAAAGCTATTACCAATAATGGGAAACTATCGACTCAGTGAAAAATTAATCTTTGATTGTTGTACATTTTAGTATTTTAAAATTAAGCTACAGTAAACATTATTTGTATAAATCACTGTTTACACTTCATTCATGAAAGTGTCCATTCAACTGCATTTCATTCAGAACCAAGTGATCTTTAAAAAAAAATAGAATATTCGTAAAGTTAGTTCTTTTTATCAACAATTTTTGCACTGGTATGTTGGATAATTCAGTAGATGATGGAATAAAATTTGAAGAAATTTATTATTAAAAATCTATTTATCTGATTGAATGTAATTCATTCTTGATTCTGTTATCATAATTTTTTATAAAATAATTCACTTTTAAATGGCACTGACAAACTGGATCGATTTCTGCAAAACATCTTGGCAACAATCTAATTGGGTGCTAAGTATTGACTTGCTTAGAAATGTGTTCAAAAGATTTAAATATGTTAAGTTGTCGCTGGTGAAGCCTATCGGAAGTTGAACAGTGATTACCGATTGAAGTGGATTATTATCATGCTATGTTAAGGAGCGATTGAAGTTTGGAATGTGGATAAATGAATATTGGTTCAGTGGTTTAAAGACATGGGGTTAGATCCTTGTTACGGTCGTAGGTTAACTGTACTCCAAAGTCAAATATTAAGTAAGACAAAACACCTTCCAAATCATCACCACCGTTCAATACTACCATAACTGATACCAATTGGTGACAAATATCACCTTCATATAAAACTGGTGTCAACGATATATTTAAGGACAAATGACGTTATAGTTGAATAAGTAAAATATTACGCCAAGTCAGTCAAATTGTTCCCATAACACGTTGCATGTCCAGATTAATGTTTATCAATAGAACACAAATTACACATTATTATAAGATCTGAGCAAAAATTTGACTAAAGTAAGAGCAACGAAAGTAGCAGAATAACATAAATTCATTTTCGTGGTTTCTGTTGTAAGCATCTGAGGTGAAACCACGAAAAAATTGAATTCACGTTATTCTATCACGTATGTTGTTCATGCCTTAGTCAAAGTTTTCAGTGAAAAAATTGTTTTAAAATAGAACATTATCCAAGATGATCAGTTCATTAAGTCATTTAATTTTCGGTCAAAACTAGATGAAGAAAAGATTTTAAGTGAGATTCCTATGTAAATATGAAGTAAAAAAAATGATTAAAGTCAACTAATAGTGTGCTCATGTATACAAATTGATCATTACTATCTGATTACCTTAGCATATATTCTGAATAGCATTTAATGTGAAAAGATTACCTCATTTCCATTGATTGTAACTCATATTGAACATTTTACAACTTGGTTAAGTTTGGCAACATATAATTGCTAATGTATTCAGTGAAAGTAACATTGCGTTGATCAGTGAGGAAGGACAAATAGACACTCAATTTTGTGTAACACTATTAAGGCGACCATATTTAATATTGCGGTTTCCTGTCTATTACTGAGTTTTTCTTCGACTTCACTATGACTCTATGTGAAATGCCAGTACTTGTGTTAAGTAATTTACTGTCTGGTTTTTTATCTGTTCTTTGTTGTTGGTTGCAAATTGCGTAGTTCAATAAAACGTGATTCAGTATGTATCTAGTATATTAAGCCGTAACATTAATAAATGTGACCATTTAATACTCAGAATATACTCTGAACGTATTCAAATATTTCATAAAATAGATAACGATAACCTGTTTTGTTCAAACTTAATTAAAATGCGTTTTATTCGATGAAGAAACTGACTGAACAGGCTATATCAAATAATGTGTTAACTTTGTTTATCATTATTATTATTACTTTTGATACCAGTGGAAAACTTATTTTACTCATTGAAATCAATTATAATTATTGTTTATTCAGGGAAAGAATGCCATTTCAATTTAAGAAAAAACAACTGAACAATTGAGAGATAATACTAACAATTACAAGAACGAACATTATAATAATAATGGTTGGTTTAAATTTGTATATTCATTGTGTTTGTTTATTTGCATCCTAGTTTCAGTGAATTGATAATACGAAGAAATAAGTCTTTGAATATGTATTTAAGGACAAGTATTGTATACAACTTTATTAAGTCGTAGTAGTAGTAATAGTAATAGTAAAAGTAGTGTAAATATTACACGCTGTGAATACATTGTGGAGGCTTGAAAAAAATTCTGTAGATTAAAAGATTAATTAATAAACAGGTCACAACATAGTGAGGAGAAAGACTAAATCTCTAACCGAAAAGATTGTGAATAATATGCACACAATGAATTAATG